AGTGAAAATTACGAGAAATTCAACATGATAGTTGTGTAGATATTTTGGTGAAATTTTTGGTATTTTTTGTGTGTCGATTCTCTTGTGGAAAATTCTCGTTGGAGCAGAAAAATTATGTTTGAGAATTTCCCTTCGTTTTTTGACAATTTTTTTGTGTCTCAAAATTAATTTTTTATCTTGAAAAATTTTTTCCCCTGCCGAAATCAGGAAAATTCAGATCGGAAAATTTTTTTTGAATTTTTTTCGTTTATTTGTGATTTTTGTGGCAGGCACGAAGATAACGTTCGGTGGGGAAGGAGACGAGCTTGGGTGCAGTGGGAGATGCCAGGATGTGGCATTTGTTATTCGGGAGAAAGAGCATCCACTGTTTGAACGATGCGGGTAGTAGTAGTAAAGTGGGTATAATCGTTGGGAATTCGGAATTAATCACCTCGGACGTTTTAAGAATTGGTTAGAACTATCTCTATCTATCTAACTACTATCTATCTTCTGCAGGGAAAAAATTTCTGTAAAAGCGTTGAGGAAAGAATAATATATTTTTGATGTTTTTGCTCGCAGTTTTACTGCTGGGGAATTTCCTTTTTAATGATGGGAATTCACCCACAATTGCGAGATGATTCACAAGAATAAATTTGTCGAAATTCCCCCCGCGATTTTCATATTGTTACTAACACTTGTAGTTGATTATGTGCATATTTTCACCTCGCACTGAGAGTTGGAATACACATATTTAGAAAGCCATAAAAAATTTTCTCGTTTTCCTTGCAATTTTCATATCGCATATTTTAGTTCTGATTTAACGTACAAGAAGAAAGTGACGCTGAAGGAAGCTCTCACTGGTTTCGAGATCGACGTCCCTACATTAGCAGGTTCTACTAGAAGGTAACGATTATAGATGGGTAAATTATTCCGTATTGGGGACTTTTTAACGCCTCAGGTTGAAAGTGGACCATATGATCAAGCCTGGGAGTCGCGAGATTGTGTCAAATGCGGGGATGCCGATTTCGAAGGAGCCCGGAAAATTCGGAAATTTAATCGTTTGTTTTGAGGTCGAATTTCCGGAAAATCTCAATAGGGCGCAAATGGAGGCTCTGAAGTATATCTTGTGACGATTATGATGGTGGTTATGTACATGCGTGCAAAAAAGGTTGAAGTTTTCGTATACCAACTTTTACGTAAATTACACCGCATTGTAACTCAATTGAACTGTACGAAATTATTCATATTCGCCACGAAATTATCAAAACACTGAAGATCAGATCGCCGTCGTTGTTGTTGTTGTTGTTGTTGTTGTAAAATGACTCCTCTATGTAGAGTAAGAAAAGTAGCTTGTCGTCGTCCGTTGCTATAAATTACGATTGTCCGCCGTTTCGAAAGATACCTAGAGAGGATAAACATGCTTGAGTTTAGTGTGGGGTGAAATCGATCACGTGATCGATTATGTAATTTTTCCTCGTGGATGGCGGAAGACGAATCTGCGAAGAAGGGGTGGTATCTTTCGTATGAACTCGCTGAAGAGGTTTTGGATGCCGCGAGAGGTCAATACCGATGCAACGCCGCACAGCGAAGATTTTCGAATAATAGAGTAAGGGGAAAATGAAGTTGTTGGGGGTGATAATGGTATTGGCAGCAGATTCGTAGAATTGGATATGGTGGGTTCTGGGATGGGAGGGGTAGTGGAGTTGGAGGTAAGGTTGTTGTTATTGAATATTTAAAGATTTGTTGTTGTCGTTGTTGTGGTTGTTATTGTTGTTGAATATTTAAAGATTTATTGTTGTTGTTATTGTTGTTGTTGTTGTTGTTGATGTTGTTGTTATTATTATTGTTGTTGTTGCTGTTGAATATTTGAAGATAAATGTCTCTTATTCGGTTGCGCGTAAACCTGAGAATATTTTCTTTCCAACTTTATGAAGGTAGAGATTCTCCAATCATAGGAAGGTCTCCGAAGGGCGTGGGAAGCACGACGTCAGAATTCGCTGTGGACGGGTGAGTCGACCTATTCCGTTTCCTCCGGGAATTTCCCCAACTACAGTATGGAAATTTACATATGTTTGCTGAACTCGAGAGTTTTCGAAACTGCATTATGAAAATTTACGTATGTTTGCTGAACTCGAGAGTTTTCGAAACTGCATTATGAAAATTTACGTATGTTTGCTGAACTCGAGAGTTTTCGAAACTGCATTATGAAAAATTACGTATGTTTGCTGAACTCGAGAGTTTTCGAAACTGCATGATGAAAATTTACGTATGTTTGCTGAACTCGAGAGTTTTCGAAACTGCATTATGAAAATTTACGTATGTTTGCTGAACTCGAGAGTTTTCGAAACTGCATTATGAAAAATTACGTATGTTTGCTGAGCTCGAGAGTTTTCGAAACTGCATTATGAAAAATTACGTATGTTTGCTGAGCTCGAGAGTTTTCGAAACTGCATTATGAAAATTTACATACAACTTGTTGCAGAAGTAAACACAAGTTTACACTACTTTTCCGAAATCTCATCGGAATTTTTTATTCTCACGAGCTTGTTGAGTAGACTGTGAGTATTTTCCAATACTGTGTTTGTGTTGTGGTCCCTCTTCTGCGAGTGGTGTACTCCCTGATATAGCGTATCTACCGATTCACCTGTAGTGTAGGTGTGAATTTTCGAAAAATTGACAAAAAATCTTGAAAAATTATTTTTCGAGATTGATGAGAATTGATCTGAAGGTGTACCGCAGCTATGAACATGTGTGGCGATGGTACAACATTTAATGCTGAGCATTTATTTATACTACTAAAACAGAAATATCGATTTTAGAGACCGTGAGTCGCAGCCTATGGACGAGCTATTATTGGGCAAGGATGTCGTTCTGAAGCGAACAGGCTCGTGTGAGATTGTGTTTCGCTGATGGCTTCGTATTGGACCTATTGTGTATCTTGGGCGCGTGAACTTAAGATATGCTCGGGCGAGATATGTAATCAGGTCCTTTGGGTGGGTCCAGGGCTGGTGCCAGGGTGAGTGACGCCTCAGCAGATGAAAGTAATTGCGATACTAGGCATGAGAAAGGAAGTTTCATACGTATTGTGGGTGAAACTCAATTGCACTTTATTCATGTAGTTTGACGCTATTTTCAACTGTGGCCGCACAACAACATGCAATAGTTTTTATCGTATAGATACGCAATTGTCGAATATTACCGAATGTACTAGTGGCAGTGAGTTGGCGAGCACGGGTGGCAAATATGTACGAAAATTATGGGATAAACTCCCGAAGTATGCTGAATAGCTGGTCCTATTGAGGATAACGTGCTGATCAAGAACATAGCGTTAATTTTGTTTTAAAATCTGTCATTCAAAAATCACAGAAACTCAGAAAAATTTAGGAATAGAAATTAAGAATGATTTTTAGTATAGCCGAAATTCATTTTTTCGAGTTTCACGAAATTCTACGCGCTGGATTTCACGTAATCCTGACTAGTGCTATGCGCAGCGCGAAACAGCCTAGATATCTACTAAGTGAAGTTCCTCCTGTATTACGTGGAATGACGAGACGACGATTTCACATGGGATTTGGTGAAATCTTACGTCATTGATTTCCGTCATCTCGAGGGTTCGCGATTGAGGGAAGCGGGTTTTGATTCCGGCAGCAATTCTGGAACTCTATTTCGTGTTTGAATATAAAAAGGGATGGTATTCAGTTGAGTTTCTGAACTCG